GGGATGAAAGTTTTCCGTCGCTACGATGGATTTCCGTCAATTGGAATAAATGAGGGGAAAAGAAACATGTAGCACATTGTTGTTGTTCTGCCGGTGGTCTGACGATTTGTTGGTAGCATAATCTGATAGGTAGCATTATTTGTCAGAACACCAAAAATCCTCCCCGCCACGGCTGCAGCTTCTCACTGACAACATAACGCCGCTCACAGAGAACACAGAGCAGGTCTTGAATTTCAGGCACAGAATTGCGGCTATTAATAATAATTCTACTCATTCCTGCAAGTTCCACGCTTATAACGCGATGACAGATGACGGAACTTATCATTTGCACATACTTTTGAGTCTTGAGAACTCTCATTTTCTGTGCGACCACAGATCGCGATAAGGAGAGTGACAGCTTTTAATAATTATTCAAAGAGTTTGCAAATATGATATTGATTTAATACAACAGTTCAATAAACACGTACTGCCTGATTTTGCTCTATTTCATCAACGAAAATAGTTCCGAATAAAGTAACCGCTCAGCCGCTGCGCATCTCTAAAAGCAAACACTGTCGATTTTCTTTCATGAATGAAAGTGCGTTTTTGAACGAATCTAGTGAGTCAGTGATTCATGATTACCCATTCATAAAGACAGTCACTTGCTTCATTCCTGAATGAATTAGCCGTTCAAACGAATCAATTGAATGAATGATTCAGTGATAAAAGCCGTGATTTGCCGCCACCTGCTGGCGGGTTCAGTTTCATTTTTAGGTATAATTGCAGTTATTTAAATCATTTAATATTTCTGTATTCAAAATGTTATTTAAAACATTAATCTCCATATGTATGAATTTAATTGCACTCATGCCACCTCTGAGCCTCATTGAATGTCTGAAAATGTACCTACAAGCCACTTTTGTGTTCTTTTTGTGCCACCTCTGTAGTACAAATTAATTTTTCATTAATACTAATTTCATGATTGGTAATTTATTTGTCTTATTCTACTTATATTGTTTTAAATAGAAATTTTAAAAAGCTTTACAGATGAAAATGATGCCATTGCAAAGGTAAAAAGAAAATGCCCCTGTAAATCACTTCACCTCATATTAGGAAGGCAAATTTTTTTTATCAGAATTTTTTATTATTAATCAGAAGGTGCTTAATTTTTTTTTTAATTAGGAGGACAAGCGCTCTTGATTACAAGAAGAAAAACACTGCTCTTAAACTGGGTGTGTGACAGGTATGGCTGTGGAATGGGGTTTGGCCGAGGAAAAATTTTCAGACAATTGTTTTTTTTTCCCCTTTAACCCCTGACTACTACAACAAGTAATACAACTTTTGTTTAAAAGAATAATCACACAATACGCTATTTATTCCATGTTTTAATTTTAATGGTAAACCCATTAAATAAAGAGTTTGCCAAAAAATAAAGAGTTTACTGTGGGAGTACTACACTCAACCAACACCAGGGAAGGCAGTTTTTGTCAGAGCCCTTGTTATTCTTATTAATATTCATATATATTCATACATTGGTGGCTGACTAAATACTTTTTTGCCCCACTGTATATATATATGTTATATTCATGTATTGCACAAGAAAATTAAATTTTGCAACAAAAATCTTTAAAAATGAAATAAGCTGGGACAACTGAAATGACTGACTTATTTTTATCAAAATATTTTATATGAACAATTTTAAAATGACTACTAAACTCAGAAAGTTAGTTATTTCATGTTGATTTAAGCAATAATAGCTTAAAATGTGATTTAAAAAAAATTATATTCATTTTATGTCAAATACAGAACATTAGCAGTGTAACAGCACTAGCAATAAAACATTTGTTGAAATGTGAAGGACTAGTTCAGATTCAGCTTTAAAGGGCAAAACTTTGTAGTTTTTAGACTATATCTGTTAGCCATACATTGAGGCCATCTATATTAGCATAGTTCTAAAATCAAATTCCAATATTTTCAATTCCCATCATAAAAAAGCAAATATTGACACACTAGCTATGAATGACAAAGGGTATATTTGTAGACGGCATATGCGTCTCATTCACAGAGGGAGAGGGAGTGCATAAGTCAGGGTAGGTGTCGTGCAGCAGTCCCTATGCAGTGCGGGGGTGAAGGGTTGGAGCCAGCCAGCCGTGCGCAGAGGAGGAAGGGAGTGTGTAGGTCTGAGGGCCCGGATCACATTCTTACCTTCACCTGAGGAGACTGCAGCTTCTGGTACATCTCCAGAGAATAGTGATAGAGCCACATCTCCACAAACACCTTTAGAAACACACCACCATGAAGTTCATGCCAAAACATGAAGTAAACTCATCACGGATGACAATTAAGAATAGTTAGCATCTGTTCTAGGGCTGCAGCTATCGATTATTTTAGTAATCGAGTATTCTACAGATTACTCCATCGATTAATCGGATAAGAAGTAATTTTTCTTTATTACAGAGCAATACTAAATATACAAGAGATAATAAAATAAGTCTCTTAAAATAAACAACTAATTTGTTTTCTTTTTAGAAAAATATAAATTTTTATTGCTGAAATTGCATACATTAATAACCGTGAAAACTAAAACTCTTGAGCGGCAGGGTCAGCGTTGACTGAGGGCTGATGTGTAATATGACGCTTCAACAAACTGGTGCTGTGACCACCATATCCAACATAAGGCACACTGGGAGACCTGGGACAGGAAGAATATAAAACCATATAAAA